CATCTCAGAAAGAAGATAGATAAATGTTAATTTTTATCTCTAGAAGCTGAACTTAATCCATACTTAATAGATTCTTGGATGTACCTTATATCGTTAACTGCCATGGATATACTTTACTAATCTGTTCCATTGATATAGCACTGTTACAATACTAACACGTTAAAATGTTGTAAGTATTATATGACCACCGCTTCTTGGGTTTTTAGTGGTTATCTTTACTTTCTTCCATAGTTTGTAGATACCCTTTCCTTATGATTTCATCAGGCGAAAAGGATTCATCAGTCTTGTTCCTTTTTGTGTAGAAATCTTTTGTGTAGTTTTATACTATTGCTTTTATTCATAACAAACTGCCCTCTGGGTTTAGTGCCCCGATCCAAAACTTTTCAGCAATCAGGCTCCTGGATATCTATTGCTGTACTGAAAAAGCAACACTGTACTAACTTTGCAGTTAACCTTTGGAGTAGATCTTAGCATGAATCTGCTCAAAGTTTAAATATACCTGACACAGACAACCTGAAACTCACTTGGCTAGAAATCCCATTGGTTTTGAAAGAAAATGTGTTCAGAGTTCCAAGTGGGAAGAAAACAGATACAGTATTCTTCTTAAAAGTACCTTTTGTTTTGGGAGAAGATCATTCATGCAAAAAAAAAAAAAGCACCAAGTGAGCAAATGCATGTGGGAAGGAGAGGAGAAGTGTGTGCTTGTGTTTGGGTCATGCTGGTACTTCCGGCAAGCTCAGTTGACTGTATATACACATACAAACTGTATGCAAGTATGCTTTCTATTTGTGCTTGAGAACCTTACATTGTGCATACAGAACCTACATATTGTACATGCACACACACCATTTACTGTCTCCTGAATGTGTATAAATCAAGGGTAGGGCTTGCTGCCACAACCTGATTTTCATCCTACCCAATGCTCACTCAACAAATATTTGATGTGTAAAAAGGGTTTTGATAAACTGAAACACACACAGCCTCAAATAATTTAGCGGCACTCAGAGATTTTAAAATCTCTTACAACTGATTTCCCAAATCCAGTTGCTGAAGTCAGTGGTTAAAACAGGAACAACACTCCATCCAAACAACTCATGGAAGTATTAGTTAGGAGGAAATCGTTCTGAACAGCTGGGGATGCCAAGATTTCCAGCTGTTAGCAGCAATACATAATTGTTAAATGCGCCTTGCTCCCCTATGGAGCACAGGTCTATTCTCCCTCCCTTTTTAGCTGTGAGGCACCAGATTCTGCTAGTTTACAGCAGGCAGGAGGGGACATTGGATTACGAGATACCCAAGTACAAGCAGTAGACTAGTGGTCGTGCACTGTCCTAGAGCAAGAGATGGGAACTCCAGAAAGACCTGCATTTTTAGAACCCTGATGCTTGCAGCTCTGATTAATTAAATTTCTACCCCACTCTCCCAGCCAAGGCCGGCTCAGGGCGGCTTACATAAAACAACCTAAAATTTTACAATACACATAAAATAGATTAACAACAACAATTAAGCAATCAAGCTATTCTAAAACCATTTAAGCCATAAATATAATAAGTGCTAGTATCAGTAATGTCAAGAACTTCACAGCGGTAGTTGTTACACAGTTTTCTCTCTTTGCAGTCAGGTCTTTGGTCTTCTTAGATCATCTTAGACAGCTGGCTCAGGCTGTAGTTAGAAATCCTGGGGCGGGGGGCGGGGCTCTCCCGTCTCAAGCTGTCAGTTGTTAGTGATGGCAGCAGCTTCAAAAGCCTTGTGGAAGAGCTCGGTTTTACAGGCCCTGTGGAACTGCAGAAGGTCCTGTAGGGCCCTGATCTCTTCTGGGAGCTCATTCCACCAGAATGGAGCCACCACCGAAAAAGCCCTGGCCTCCTTGAGACTCATGAGGGCCAGCCGATTCTGGGCCCCTGATTGCAGTACTCTCTGGGGTACATGTGGGGAAAAGTGGTCCCTCAGGTAAAGGTAAAAACCAGCACCTTGAAACGAATCCGGTATGCTATAGGCAGCCAGTGCAATGCCTCTGGAACAAGCTGGATGTGCTCCCGAATAGGGGGTCCCATCAATAACATGGCCACAGCATTTTGCACCAGCTGCAGCTTCTGGATTTGAGACAAGGGCAGCCCCATGCAGAGGGCATTACAGTAGTCCAATCTCGAGGTGACCATCTCATGGATCACTGTTGCCAAGTCGTTGCGTTCGAGGAAGGGAACCAACTGCCTGATCAGCTGAAGATGGTAAAAGGCCAATTTGGCATGGCTGCTACTTGAGCTTCCATTGTTAGGGAGGCATCTAGGAGCATTCCCAGGCTTCTAACCTCCGGCACTGGCACCAATGGAGCCCCATCGAAGGTTGGGAGTGGGATCCCTAACCTTAGACCGCCCCAACTCAGGCACAGGACCTCAGTTTTCATCGGATTCAGTTTCAGCCGGCTCAGCCTAAGCCAATCAGCCACAGCCTGTAACACCCGGTCTAGATCTTCCAGTTTGGAGTCAGACTGACTGCCCAACAACAGATAGAGCTGGGTGTCATCCGCATACTAGTGACATCCCAGCCCATGCCTGTGGGCATTCTGGGCAAGGGGGCGCATATAGATGTTAAAGAGCATCAAACACTGCCCCTTGAGGCACTCCACATCCCAGTGGGTGCCTTCGGGACAGCTGATCCCCCAGTGCCACTCTTTGTCCCCAACCTTGGAGAAAGGAAGCAAGCCACTGCAAGGCCAGTCTGTGGACTCCAGTGTCGGCGAGGTGGTGGATCAGTAACTGATGGTCAACCGTGTCGAACGCAGCTGACAGGTCTAACAGCAACAGAACTTCTGATCTGCCCCGATCCAGAAGCCTCCGGAGGGATTCCATGAGGGCAACCAGTGCTGTCTCCGTCTCGTGGCCTGGGAGAAAACCGGACTGGAAGGGATCCATGATGGAAGCGTCATCCAAGAAGCCCTGTAACTGAGTTGCCACTGCCCTCTCTATTATCTTGCCCAAATAGGGCTATCTGGAGAACAGAGTCACAGCTCAACTGAGGAAAAGGTAAAAATGGGGAACCATCAGAGAAAAGAAGCAGTAGATTCAATCTAGAGGCATCTCTAACGAAACATCCAATGCACCATAAGAATATCTCAAGAGAGGCAGGGCTGGATCCTAGGATTGCTTTTACCTAATCCTATTACTCTCTTCTGTTAAATTTTCCTTCAAGGGTGAACTTCCTCCAATGGAGAATGACTTTCTGATGAAGAAAGACTTCCTGTAATGGAGAAAAGCCACTCTTCATTGGAGGAAGTCTCTCTCTGTTGGAAAGAGATCATGCTGGAGAGGTAGCCATGTTAGTCTGTCTGTAGCAGTAGAAAAGAGTAAGAGTCCAGTAGCTCATACCCTGCAACAAATTTTGCTAGTCTTTAAGGTGCTACTGGACTCTTTCTTCTGTTGCAAGGAGACTAGTGGAAAGGAGTCATAGGATCCAAACCACAGTCTACAAGTGTAGTTCCACCCCAGAAAAGGTTCTGTCTCTGCCCCCAACCCACTTAGCAGACCCTGTGGGTTCACTAGGGGAGAAATGCAGACCTTCAGGTAGCCAATTGTACTGAGCTTAGCCTAAAGCCAATAAACATGTCAATTAAATTAACCTTGCTTGTTATGCTTTCATTGGCCCCTTACCAAATAAAACCTGGGAAGTTTTATAGAAAATCTGTTGGAAGAACGATAAACCAAGGTCAGCCAATGGACTAAAGACAGCAGAAGAGAACTAAAGATGGCCAAAGTTCAGCAACAGAGCAGAAAAGCTGTGGAAGAGACGGCTGAGATCTGATGAAGTGGGCTTGTGGATATTTAGTCAGAGCCAACTGGAAGACAACCCTGAAGCCAGTGATATTGCTTTCCCCGAATGTGGGTCATAGGCTTGCCCAAGCAAATAACAGAAGTGACAAGGCCATCAGAGCAGTTTCCTGATACAGCAGACTTTGCTCTGCTACCCAGAACCCTTCATCAAACAGATTAGTTTCATCCTCAACAAATTTTCCTAGTAGAACAAAGTCTGAGTCCAGTGGCACCTTTAAGACCAACAAAGAATGGACTGATAACTTCCAGTTCAGTGTGTCTTGAGGAAGTGTGCGTGCACACAGAATAAAACTTCCTTGGTCTTAAAGGCATCACTGGACTCAAACTTTGATCTACTGCCTGAGACCAACACGGCTACTCCACCTGAACTTTTCCTTGTGTTTGCTCTTGGCAAAGCTTGACAGGGACACAGCTATTTATACAAATTCTGAAAATGTCATCTATATAACCGAATCTGGTTTCTGTAGCAAGAAATCATCTGTGATACTTTGTCCCTTTATGCCTGATGAAGAGCGCTGCCTAACTCAAGCCTGAATATATCTACAAAGAACATGCAGTAGATGAAAGGAAAGGGCACCCCGGCCAAGCACAGAGAATCTTACCTTTCGAAAATGAAGCTCACCCGGAGCTTCTCGCTAGCCTTTATCCTAAGAGCTCCAGAAAGGATCCCGCGGCATGAGGCAGGTCAGGGAAAAGTCTAAGAAACCTGCTTGCTTTATCCCGGCAGCTGAGCGATTTTGACTCCAAAGTGCTACGCGGCAGCTCAGCGCTCCAATTTCGAAGGAGCCCCGCAGGAAAGAAACCCTCCCTCTTCAGTCCGGATTGATGAGAGCCCACCCATCCCAAGGGACCACTTTGGCCCCCTTGGCCCCGGGATTCGCGGGGGGAGGGCCTGAGGCAGCTCCAAGGCACGACTTTGCCTTCCCACGCAAACCCGCGCCCCCCCCCCCCCCGTTATTGGTAACTCAGCCCCCTCCTTACCCAAAGTGCCTCTAGGCACAGCGCGACGGAAGAAGGAAGGGATCCCTCCAACGAGCCCCCCTCCCTCTCCTTCCCACTCCCCAAAACCTCGAAGCTCTTGCCGGGAGCTTAGAGAGAGTGAGTTCCCAGTCACTTGCCAATCATACCGCCCCAGCCCACTGCCCAGTGGTAGTGCCCAGACACGGAACCCACCTGAACTTCAGCCGGCTGTAATTCAACGACCGCACCAGCTGTGCTATGCAGCGAGCCGCCAACCCCAGCGAGTGAGTCTCAGCGTCTGGCCTTTTTTAAAAAGCAGAGCGAAGGAGGCGTGGGGAAGCAGGAGAGAACTAGCCACTAACACCGGAGGAATCTGCATGCAAACGCAAAGCTTTTTGGGAAGCAGGCTGGAACAGGGGGCTGGGGGGGTTGCCGGAAGGAGCTTGCGTTTCTGTTTATCAGCGGCTACGAAGTTTCTGCTTTCAATTAAAAGTTCTGCTTTCAATTAAAATTTCTGCATTGGGCAAGATGAAAGAATCACCATAACGTGGTTTGCATTAATCTTCGAGAGGTTTATATACTGGATTGGCACCACAGTATTTTGGATGTGAGGGCGATCTGGCTGCGACATCTGTCACCCCATTGATCGCCAGGGTTGATTCGGCTGATCTGGCTGGCTAGGGGGGGGGGCCCAACCTGCCTTACCGCTCCATGTGCGTCCCTCCCGAAGCTGCGCGCTCGGTGGAAGAGGACGACCATCCCAGATAGAAGGAGTGTACCGTTCTTCGGTCAAGGGTATACGATAGCTGCGCTCCCCTGCTAGAACCTCTAAACAAGCTCAAGGTCCATTTGTAGGAGAACATAGGGTAGTCAAGCTTCCAAGACTCCAGACACATCCAAGTGAGGCGCTGCATGTGGCAGTATGCCATTCTTTTTCAAGGTCTTCAGCATCAAGTTTTCCCTCTTCACTTTGGGGTGTATAGAAGCAACTTCTAAGGTGAGTTTGTACAGTTCAACAACTTTTATTTTACAGACCAGTTTTCAAAAAGTCTGGGACGTTTGAAATAGCTCCACTAAAGAGAAAAAACACACAAAAACCTGCTTTTCCAAAATCACTAGCACCTGGGAGGAAAATTCAGTACTTGTACAATAGCCCAGACTTTCAAATGTAAAAGAACCTGCACAATGAGAGAATAGCTGTGAATAGTATTAGGCTGCAAGTAGTTCCAGGATAGTTTTCATTTCCAGAAGGATCTACATTTTCTTTTGACATTCATTTTCTTAGAAGTTTCTCTGCTTTCTATAGGGCAGGTTCATTCTGAGAAAAGCTGCTTTTTCCGCTCAACATGGAAGGGGAGCATTGAAATTAGGCTCCTAGTAGAAGTTTCCCTTGCCCCAGAGCTGAGAGATGGTGACATAAGTGAGCCTGAGTCACCATCCCAGATAGAAGGAGTGTACCGTTCTTCGGTCAAGGGTATACGATAGCTGCGCTCCCCTGCTAGAACCTCCAAACAAGCTCAAGGTCCATTTGTAGGAGAACGTAGGGTAGTCAAGCTTCCAAGACTCCAGACACATCCAAGTGAGGCGCTGCATGTGGCAGTATGCCATTCTTTTTCAAGGTCTTCTGCATCAAGAGTTTTCCCTCTTCACTTTGGGGGTATGTAGAACCTGAAATATGTACTTCAAAAGCAACTTTCTCCTACAACGTTCTCCTACAAATGGACCTTGAGCTTGTTTGGAGGTTCTAGCAGGGGAGCGCAGCTATCGTATACCCTTGACCGAAGAACGGTACACTCCTTCTATCTGGGATGGTTCAACAACTTTTATTTTACAAGAAGTCTGGGATGCTTGAAATAGCTCCACTAAAGAAAAACAAACAAACATGCTTTTCCAAAATCACCAGCACCTGGGAGGAAAATTCAGTACTTGTAAAATAGCCCAGACTTTCAAATGCAAAGGAAACTGCACAATGAGAGAATAGCTGTGAATAGCATTAGGCTGCAAGTAGTTCCAGGGCAGTTTTTATTTCCAGAGGGATCTACATTTTCTTTTGACATTCAGTTTCTTAGAAGTTTCTCTGCTTTCTATAGGGCAGGTTCATTCTGAGAAAAGCTGCTTTTTCCGCTCAACATGGAAGGGGAGCATTGAAATTAGGCTCCTAGTAGAAGTTTCCCTTGCCCCAGAGCTGAGAGATGGTGACATAAGTGAGCCTGAGTCTGGGCCATAAGTGGAAAACCGGGCTTTGGAGAATCCAGCAAAAGCAACCAGATGTTAACACACAATAGGTTCGGGTGGGGGGGGGAGTGGCAGGGGAAGCTCCAGCATACTGCCAGGCTGCTTAAATTTCAGAACAGCAACAGTATTTAAGCAAGCTCTCTCTGAGCAGGACATGCATGGATCTTTAAAATCTATTTTTTCAGACTAGTAGAGGATTTCAAATTTGTCTTAAAAATAATTTTATTTTCTTTGCAACTATTAAGCAAAATGTATCTGAGGAAGTGAGTGCCCACAGAAGCTCATACCCTGAATAACACTTTGTTGGTCTTAAGGGTGCCACTGGGCTCAAACTTTGTTCTGCTGTTTCAGACCAACACAGCTACCCACCTGGGTCTAAACAGATTATTGTAAATCTAGCCCCTTAGCCCAGGATTTAAAAAGCCCTGTCAATAAATAAAATCTAATGTAATAGAGCTCTAGAGGTCAGCTAAAATGATTGGCAGATTTTTTTTTGGCAAAAGGATTATGCTTCCAGTCATGCTTATGTGCTTCTTAAAATGCAGTTCTGACAGGTCCCCTCTGTGTAATAGGAAAGCTGTGCAATACAACACAAGTCATCTGGCTTCAGCCTTGCATGCATGGGTACCCTTCTTGGGAGCACACTTGAATGCAAAGCAATGTTTCATTAATCATCCAGAAAATGCCAGACTTTAAAATGGAGATAGCGAAAACCTTCTCCCCTATACAGCTTGGCTGTTGCACATGAGGGGTGCTGTGACCTGGCTCTTTAACTGGAACTAATTGTGAGTGCTGCCCATTTTAAAAGCCCCATTAATTTAAAAGTTGCTTGATCTCCATGCCCTTTCCTAGTGAAGTGCAACTAGTAAGAATGTAAGGCCATAGAGTAAAGAGAAAGGTTTGAGAACTTGTAAGGAATAAGCAGGAGAGGGAAGGTGACGTGGTATAGCCTGATCATGGTATAGACTCTGCAGAGGAAGGCAATGGGAAACCACTTCTGCTGCTACTCATTTGCCTTGAAAACCCCTTGCTGAGGGTGCCATAAATCGGGACGCAAGGCACAAGCAAATATAAGTGAATGCAAGATTCATTAAAAACATAAGTTAAAATGACATTTATTTCAAAACCACTTTAATTCTGGAGCTTCTTTTGACATTAACAAGTACACAAAAGACCCGAGTAGAAAACATGCTAAGTTTCATTTCTCAAGGACACCCTGGGACTCACATTTAATTTTTCCATACAAATGGCTTCTTCTTAACAAATGATAAAAAGGCAGTCCTTGGTGGCAATAATCCACAAATTTTAACTTAATGTGTAAAGTGTTAATATAATGGATCTATTCAGCACTGGAAGAAGAATTTGATATTTATGTTCATGTGTGTTTATTGATCTAGTTGTTGTCCCCTTATGGCATACAAGAAACTGCTCTAGAGTAATAGCATGTGCCTAAGCATGTTTATTCAGAAGGAAGGTCAGTAGGACTTACCCCTTGCTAAATGTGCTTAGGATTGCTTCATTAAGGAAAGTACATTTACAGGTAGGCAGAATGGAGTGCAAAATTCTGCAGCTGGTTGAGCAGATTATTTTAAACAAACCTTTAATCCAAACTGGATAACTGAGGCAAGATAACCTCACCTGACAAGGGGCGCATCTGACTTGAATGCTCTTCAAATCTAATGAGAGAGCTATCAAGCAGCATACAAGACAAGTGAGAGATTAAACAACAAAACTCCCATGAAAACCCATTACAGAAATGACTAGGAAATCTGTTGAATGCGGTGAGGTTTGCAGAGACACTGCAGAGACATTGACCCAGTCTGAACAAGATACAGGTTGTTGTTTATAAATGGCACAGACCATAGGAGAGCTCTCGCAAGTCTTGCAAGCCTTACTGTCCTGGATTTTAGCAGGCACTAGCAGTGGAAGTAAGCCTTAAGGATGCACGTTGTTTATTGAACTCAGAAACGTTTTGTCTTCCCAAATTATAAACAGAACAGGAATTCAACTCTGAAAGCTTCCCATAGACTTTAATTAGAGGTGCTCTGTGTGAATCTATTCTAGGCACATCTCTTAGGGTAAAAGATGTAAATTACTTTTCCCAACAGTATGTTATATTTCTGATCTATGTCTGGTGATGAGCCTAAGCACAGGAATGTACATGGAAATGCCCCATTCAGTTCAACAGAATGTATTAACTGTGCTTAGAACTGCCCCCTTAATCAAGGGAAAAAACTTTTACCATGATTGAAGATCAGTTCAGTCATTTGATAAAAGCGTCACCAATTATCAACATCTACAGCTTGAAATAAAATTATCTTCCATAACAATTTTGATTTTCACTGGAGGTGGAGGCAGTAGAAGCAGTGGGGATTCATCCTTATTTTTAATGCAGTATAAAAGCAATTTTGTTTTGCTTTCCCCACATTCTGAATCATTGCTTAATCCAATGGCACAATAAAGGAACCCAACATTAAACTGGTAACACTGATTTTAACAGATTCCAAACACAGTTCACGTTTCTTAAATCATCACTTTCTGATATGTATTCTGTCACTGCAGAATTTGAAACAGCTCAAATTTATTTCCTTAGTAATTCATTACTTTTAAAGCTATGTACCTGTTTGCCCTAAAGGAAGACTAGTCCCCCGCCCCGCATATGCTGGCAAGAAAAATGGGGCATCTTAAATCTACATACAAGTTACAGTTATGTACAGTTAACTTTAAAAACTTGTATAAACTGGGGAGAGGAAAATTCTCTTACACAAAGGGTTGTGTTCATTTGGAGTAAATACATGTATTGCAGCATCTAGAAATAGCACCTTCTGAGGCCTGCAGTGGAACTTTGAGCAGGATCCACTGAAGTTCCTTATTGCATCGTAGCCCACTCTGTTGTGCTGAACCTCAAGCTGTAAACAACTAAAAACAGTGTTTTGTAGCTGCTTTAGGCCTCATTCTTCCTTTGATAACCTACAAAATGGGTGGGAGGCACGGTGGGGTGTGTGGAGGTGATGGGTAGTTCGCCTGAAGGTTCACAGCTCCTCACTAGCTGAGAGCCTTTCTTTTGTCAGAATATCCTGAGCTTTGTGTGCCAGTAACACACTAGAACATTGAAAGTATGGCTGCTATGCTTGTAAAGATTTCACCAACTTGGTTGCTCCTTCAGCTGTTGGAATTGCCCCATCTCTTTGCCTGGAAACTGTCCATTAAATTGCCAGCTGAAGCATGAGAACAGGCAGCTGGTAGCCATCCTGTTGCCTTACAGGCTACCAACAACCGTTTCTAGGTGCACTGTGCAGCCAGAGAGAAAGGAGGTGTACAACAGGACTGCAGCAGAAACATGCTGGAGGACCTGTGATTGCCCTCTTAGCTGAAATTTTCTAAAGGGGAAGATCCACCCAAAGAGGCATCCGCTATTAATCTGCATGAGAAAGGAAGAAGTTTAGTTTCTCTTCTTGCAGCTTCTACCTTTCAAAGGAGACAGCCTGTGGTTCAGAACATGGCATTCTTCCCACGCAAGACTGGAGCAGCTCTGACACAAACATGGTAAAAGTACCACGACAATTCTACATTAAATACTTGATAAGTGAGCTTGATGGACTGAACAGTTACAATTTACATTTAGGTCATTACTTCTCCCTGAGAAGAGACCATCTTTAGCCTTCTGATGTGAAAGTCATGGAGATTAGTATTCCACTTTTTTCCTCATTAAAGAAACAATACGGCATTTTAGCTAAATACAAAACACAGAGCAATCCCCCTTACAAATCCCCACCTGGAGGTTTTCCTTTAAAACAGTGCACAGATTTCTGTTACCTGCCAGCTTCCACACCTTTCAAAACAAATTTATAGCTCTTATTCACACCTTACTGGCATATGCTGAACTTTGATCTAGGAAGACTACATGTCAGCCCTAAAAGTACACTATAAAAATATTCCGAGAACAAATTTTTGAAGTTAAGATTCTAATGATATTAAGGGTAGGCTAGACTGTAGTGTTAACCTGATGCAGAAGCTGCTACATTGCAAAGCCTTTTAACTTTGCTGCCGACAGTTATCTTTAATCGTTTGTTTCTATTACGCTGAGCCAGCTGTGTCAAACTTAACATTGCTTTAAAAATACTCTTCAGGGGCCTTCGGCTACTCTAGAAGTTACCCAATTCCCACCTGAAGGAGGCATACCTCTATCTGCAGGTAATGTAGTTTTCACTAGAGTTGAGTGGCAAGGCATGCAGGCAGAACAAGGGGCAGCTTCCATATTAATAGCTGCCACATGTATTCCCATCTACAATTTTTGTACAGTTACCAGTCAAATGGTAAACTTTAGCCTGGACTACAGCACTGCTTTGGGTAGAGGAACGTACATGAATGTTCCTTCACACAGGAAAACAGTTGCCTGCACCTACAAAAATCAACTATCAGAAAAATTCTGATTCTTTTCCCTGACATGCTCTTTTTCCATGTGGAAGTTTGACAGGTAGATCAGTGTTCAAGTATATTATCTTCCAACCAGGAAGGTCAGAATCCAAGGAGTTTTGTTGACTTAATCCATCTGATCAAATTAATGGGCTGCAAAAATCCTGAATCCTATGGGAAAGATTAGAGATTCATGCATAGTTATTTTTGTGGCTTGCTTCCTCAAAGCAGGAACTAGTAATGCAGGCATGGACCCAACCAGTCATGACCTTCACAGGCTAGGACCTTTCTACTTCCCGCTTCAGACCAATGAGTCTACCACTATGAAGGCCTGGGGGAAAAACTTCTTCCCCCAGGAAACCCCCCTCCCATTTTGCTAATAGGAAAACTGGGGGGGGCACCTATATTTTTCTCCTCGGGTATTACTGAAATGCTTTTTTAAAACTACTGGGTTTTTTAAACAATTTTTTACTCACTTAAATGTATATAAGAATCTGCAGTATCAGATAATGGTAATTCGTATGTATACTGTAGAGGATATGTCTCTTATTTAATTGGGACTAATTTTGGCAACATCTGATAATGTGTTAGATATTAGAGTTCATTATTTCCAATGTTATAGTTTAATTTCAAATCCAAATATGCTGTAAATTGTAACTACCATGACTGTATGAGATACTTCTGTCCAGATTATATCTTTTCTTTTACTACAAAATGTGTTTACTGATTTTATTTTGTCCTACCACTTAGATGGCAATAATTAAGATAGCATAAAATGCAGCAATTTGCATCTCTCTCAAGTACTAGACATATTTACAATTTTACGTGTAGAAATCCAAGACATTCAGATTTTTAAACTCCACAAAAATGCAAACGTGAATTAAGTGATAAATTATGTATTTTATGTTGTTAAGCAATTTTGATAAGTAAATATTGCATATTTTTTAATTTTGCCCAAGATTTCCAAGGGTTTTCCCAGGGGGAAAAAAGTTAAATGCAGAGCTTCTAACCTTTTGGAAATTTTACATCTGAGTACCCCCCTGATTTTGTTCCTGGGTCAGCATACCCTCAAGACCACAGGGAACAAAAGTGGGGCTCTGTAATGGAAGAGTGGAATTGGCGGAAATACTTTTAGATTGGAGAAATGTGTAATTGGATATGTGCCATTATGGGTCTGTTAGTGCTCTAGCTCTTATGCTTAATTTGTTGCTTGCCCTACATGCCATGTCCAGAACTTACAATAAAGTATTTGGTAAATGCCCTTTTCTTTCTTTTAACTGTACCTTAATAACATTAAATACTGCATCAAATGGCTACATTTATTCACTTATATAAAACATGATTCTCAAAGGAAAATATTTTTCTTAAAAAAAGTTAATTTCAAAGTTTGTCATATAAAAATGCCAAAAAAACCCATTCTAGGCCTGATATACAAATGTTTATGGTTCTATGAAAATAACTGTTCCCATCATATAATAAAAACCATACAAAACAGGTACAATATTGCATTCAAATACATACAACTAAAATATATGTATTCCTGAAACAGTCCTAAAATGTCTTGGTCATAGATGATAAGGATCTGTAAAGCTGCTGGTTTATGAAATGTTATCAGAGGTGATGTCAGCACTGGTCACTGTTCCACAAAAAGGACACCCAACTCAAGGTTCACCGGTGAGCGCCATATTTTGAAGACCAGTCAATTCGTCTGTGAACTGGCTGGACCATGGGTGGGCGTGGCAGTAGTCCAGGTGTGTTTCTCATAGGTATATTAAATGACGGCCTCCCAATATGAGGTCTGACAGACTTCAGAGAAGCATACTCTGCAAATGAAAAAGAGTAAACTATACAAAGAGAGACTGGATCAGGAGTAATGCTCAGGTAGGAAATTGGTGATTTTAACCAAAGGATCATGTAAGGATTTAGGGTCTTCTGGTCCAAGCCCACATCTGAATCAACACTTATTTAAGAAGACATCAATACCTTAAATAAAGGTATTTTCAGTGCCAAAATTTAATTACCATATTTTTTGGACCATAAGACTCACTTTTTCTTCCAAAAAAAGTGGGAGGAAAAGTGAGTGCGTCTTATGGACCGAAGGTTCAGAATATTTTTTCCCCCGTTTTCCTCCTTTAGAAACTAGGTGCGTCTTAAGGTCAGGTGCGTCTTATGGTCCGAAAAATACGGTAATTCCATTCATTTCAACTAAAAAGGAGATCAAGTTCACAACTTTTCTATGAAGATGGATATAACTAAGCATGGGGGAACTACTTTTGAGTTCAATGGGTTTAGGAAGTCTGAAGCCATAATCAATGAACTAAGCTAAAATATAGGATTGGAATACTTTTATGATCAGAAGGACCAGAAGTATTCTTAATGTGTTTCTCAGCTGTGATTTTGATTGCAAGACTTTCTAACTTCTTATATAAAAAAGACAGAGGAGTGATTGCACTGAAATGAGAAAGGAATTTAAAGTGGTTTCAAACTACCATTCTAGGGCCTGCCAAGAGCCACAGAAAGGATTGCTTTTATGTAATTGGATTTTTTTTAAAGAAAGGTTTCAAGGCCATCTGCACACATGACTAAAACGTAAGCAGATTTCCAGATAATGGCTTATTTTCAATAATTTAATTTGCAGCTAGAGTGGTCCAGAGTCGTGAACAGCACTGAAGTCCTGCCCACACATTTAAAATCCATCTTTACAGCCCTAAAAACATGGTGGTAGTTGTTTCAGTGGAGCTTAATTCCATTCATTTCAACTAAAAAGGAGATCCAATTCATAACTTTTCTATGAAGATGGATATAACTAAGCATGGGGGAACTACTTTTGAGTTCAATGGGTTTAGGAAGTCTGAAGCCATAATCAATGAACTAAGCTAAAATATAGGATTGGAATACTTTTATGATCAGAAGGACCAGAAGTATTCTTAATGTGTTTCTCAGCTGTGATTTTGATTGCAAGACTTTCTAACTTCTTATATAAAAAAGACAGAGGAGTGATTGCACTGAAATGAGAAAGGAATTTAAAGTGGTTTCAAACTACCATTCTAGGCTCTGCCAAGAGCCACAGAAAGGATTGCTTTTATGTAATTGGATTTTTTTTAAAGAAAGGTTTCAAGGCCATCTGCACACATGACTAAAACGTAAGCAGATTTCCAGATAATGGCTTATTTTCAATAATTTAATTTGCAGCTAGAGAGGTCCAGAGTCGTGAACAGCACTGAAGTCCTGCCCACACATTTAAAGTCCATCTTTACAGCCCTAAAAACATGGTGGTAGTTGTTTCAGTGGAGCTGACTGGATACTGAATTCTGCACGAGTGTATGATCATTAAACTGCAGAACCATACACAGTACCACTACTAAAGAACTTAGAATTCTGAACAAGGGTATAACTCTGTCTAGAGTCACAGTGCTATTCTATGAACCATTTTCAGTCACTGAAAGCAAAGTAAGGATGCAGTACTAGCAGATAAGAGCCCATCTATTTAAGTGGGTACTACAGAACAATGTTGGATGCATGGTAGGTTCCTCTGCCTGAGGCCATCTAAAATATACGGACAGAAGAGAAACTAGCACAGGCTTCAGGATTTTAGGATGAAACAGCACATGGATGTGTCCTTAGATTCTAGTAGTCTACCTATTACTGGCTCTGCAGCTTTTTGAGGGGGGGGGAAGCAGCTCTTACGAGAAGACGGATCAGTAGAGGGCAGGTCAATGAGTGGCGCCAACTGAACTCTCTGGCCAGCAGAGCCAACTTCTTTTTTCAGAAAGGAAGGGATGTAAACACCAGTCAGTCCACCTGGTCCTGTGTGACCTGGGGGGGGAAATGGAAAATAGATGCAGACACAACTGAGGCTAAGGCAGTGGACCAGCACAAACATTCACAAAGTAGTACATACCTTTAGAAGCTGCTTGTTTAAAAATGGTGTGTGTGGGGGATTAATCACTACTACACTGAGTGTGTCATAAATTTGACTCTCCAGTCTATTGTCAGAGTCCCACAAACTCAGGCTCAACAACGTTCCTTCAAAAGGATCAAGTTAATAACTTCAAGAAGAATGTAATAATGTTTAGATCATGAATTAGAGGAAGTTGTACGGCAGGCCAGTTCAAAGGGCTGTCTCTGCTATGGTATAGTCTAATCTTTCCTGTTCTTGTAGGTGCTCCCCATGCCAAAATTCCATTTCACGAGGAAAACTGAAAGACAGAAGCTTCCCCTTCTCCAAGATGTAAGCCAAGCCTTCCTCATAGGGCAGCCACATAACATCTGCGAAGGTACAGTCATGTAAACTGACTGTGCCAAGCTAGCTAACAAGCTTCTGAATCGAGGATTCTTTTCTTTAAAGAAAAAAAAAATCTAACAAGGTGTCTAACAAACTGTTTGAGAGCCAGTTTGGTGTAGTGGTTAAGTGTGCGGAGTCTAACCGGGTTTGATTCCCCACTCCTCCACTTGCACCTGCTGATGTGACCTTGGGTCAGTCACAAGCTCTGGCACAGCCGTCCTTGAAAAAGAGCAGTTTGTGTCAGAGTTCTCTCAGCCCCACCCACCTCACAGGGTGTCTGTTGTGGGGAGGGGAAGGGAAAGGAGTTTGTCAGCCGCTCTGAGACTCCAAGTGAAGGGCGGGGTATAAATCCAATCTCCTCTTCTTCTTTTAAAATTCTTCCCATTAACACACTGTCTGGACTATCACACCTACTCAAATGAGCAGCAACCATACAACACCATCAAAGAATATCCTATGTAAAGAAACTGAATTTCTACAGCTTTGATTTTCAGCATCTTGAAGACCCAATCAAGTTTGGGCACATTCTGTACTCAGTGTGCCAGGATAGCCAAGAATCCTGCAGACAGTGGAATCCTAGAGACAGTCCCATCATTTTCAATGTCACATCTTACTGGAATTCAGCGTGGTGATCCCTCCTGCCACTGTGGTGGTCTTTCCAGGAAAATTAGAACTGGGCCATGGCTGAGATGGGATGGAATCTTTGCTTGAACTGGATACTAAATTATTTCTTATGCTTATACCTAAGGCAAAAATAGAAAGTTGCTGTTAAAACGCTGCAAGGATATAGTTCTGTAACAAACTGCAGAGATTCTATTTATCTTCATTACTGCTTAAGCATAATGGTTTGCATAACTATCCTCCCTCATATCCAGACTGTGTTTCCCCCCCATCTGTTTACACAGCTACTTGCAAATTCCAATACTTGATTAGGCAACCAGAGCACAAGAGAATTCCCAATGGGTAAGTGGGTGGGCAGACTCTGGATTTCTACGACAGTTACTGAAGTAGTATAAGGAAATCAAAGCATTGTAAAGCATCCAGAGGAACAGCATAAGAAGCAGAATAAGGCCTGATACCACACACTGCCCACCCCGCCTCAAAGTCTAATTCCCATACTTTATGAATTAATATCTTAGTAAATAATTTTTTTACTAACCAGGTAAATACCTAGAATGTTTCAAGTAATGCTGTTTGGCTGCAGAAACTTGTAACGTTGGCGTGTCCTGCCGAAGGTAGGAAGGTGCGCTATTGCCAGTGCCAATGCAGGATGAAGGCTTCAGTTCCAAAATACTTTCAAATCTGTAACATACAACCCAAAAAAGACTCCTATAGCACAGCCCTTCCTTCATTCATATTGCAGAGTGCTAACTTCAGAACAAAGAAACAAAGAAGATTAACAATGTGTCTTCTCAGGGCAGCTGCAAAGAGGCTCAAGGTAAAGTCAACTATCTGAAATATACAACTCCAATATTAACAGCCTTTGCACACTATACTTGTTAAGTCAACCGAAATCTGATGAAGGAAGACACACAGGGCAGTGAGAGCTTCTGCCAAGCCAAGGAGTAGGGTGATGTGAACCCAGAGCATAGCAAAGAGGAGACAAATTGGACATGGGTTTATGGACTATTATTAACTAAGGGTGCAATCTAATGCAAACTCACCTGGATGGAGAACCCACTGAACTCAGCGGGACTTAATCCTAAGTAAACATATATAAACTGCAAAGCTGTATTACACAGAGACAGCTTTTAGACACTAAGCCCAAGACACTAAGGGCATTCTTATACAGCATGGTCACAGTAACACTGATTCCTGTGACCCATGTGCAGCCCAAATGCCCAACTCTCATCTAAGAGATGGTTTCTGGCCACCCTGAAAACGTCTTCCTAGGTCTCTGTTCCAGGATGCAGGAAGAAATTTCTGAGGGGAGGAGGGAGTTGGAACATTGTCTGACAGCCATGAGATGATATTCAGAACTTGCCCCCAAATTGCCATCATGTCCTAGGAACACAGTGAGAAGATTTGGGTGTGTGTGTGTCAGAACATAACCTATCAGCTGCTTTCTCAGCTGACAGATAGTCTTCTGGCCCCTCATCCAGCCAAGATCCTTTAAAGTCCACTGAACTACTTAAGTTGTGCCCCCGGTTGTATGGTATAACAAAAAGATGTTCTTGTGCATCCTTGTGTGTCATTCTTGCTATGTGTGACTGAAAACAAAGAGACCCGGTACTTTTCAATATTTTTAGCAATGATCTGGATGAAAGGGTAGAAGGGCTACTCATTAAATTTGCTGATGATACCAAATTGGGAGGAGTAGCAAACACCCAAGAAGATAGAGTTAAAATTCAACAAGACCTGAATACTCTGGAGAAGTGGGCAGTTGCAAACAGGATGCAATTCAATAAAAAATAAATGCACAGCACTACCTCTGGGCCACAAAAATGTCAAGCACAAATACTGGATGGGGGATACGTTTCTGGGGAGCAGTGTATACGAAAGAGATCTTGGGGTAAGAGTGAACTGTAAACTAAATATGAGCAGTCAGTGTGATGCGGTGGCAAAAAATGTAGTCTTGGGTTGTATTAAAAGGGCCATAGCATTGGGTTGTATTAAAAGGGCCATAGGAGACTGAGCCCTATGAGGAAAGGCTAAGGGCCTTGGGAATGTTTAGTTTGAGGAAGAGGAGATTGGGGGGGGGGGACATGATTGCTCTCTTTTAATATGTGAAAGGATGTCATTTGGAGGAGGGCAAGGAGCTGTTCCAGTTGGCAGCAGAGGATAGGACCTGAAGCAACAGGTTTAAATTACATGCAGAAAGGTATCGGCTGGATATTAGGAAAATCTTTTTCACGGTCAGAGTGGTTCAGAGGTGGAATCAGCTGCCTAGAGAGGTGGTTAGCTCCCCTTCACTGACAGCTTTCAAGAAGAGACTGAATATTTGTCAGAGATGCTTTAGGCTGGTCCTGCATTGGGCAGGGGGTTGGACTAGATGGTCTGCATGGCCCCTTCCAACTCTGATTCTATTATTCTATTCCATGATTCTATGACATACTGTAAAGAGCTACACTAGTATAATGCCCATTCCTACAAACAGTTTAAGTAAAACCTGATTTAATATTCCCTAGTAAGCATGCTTAGGGTGGTATACTTGCTCCCAAGAAAAGGGTCGTGTGTGTAAGAATGAAGAAAGTGGCACAATGAAGTGAATGAAGTGGATTAGTCCTAGGAGAATACATTTTTCTATCTTTATACACAAATGGTCTCATAAAAGTTGTGTGTGTTTCTTAGAATTCCACAAGGTCTTATATCCTAGGCCTTATATCTTATGCCTCCTTTGCTGCTATGCCTTAGAAATTCTACAGGTTTTTCCCACAACCAGATTCTGACTGAGAAAATTTGCACCTGTGAAGCATTATTTTATTTTATTTTCTGCAAGGAACAAAGTAACATACCTACAAAGAGCTTCCTCAGTCTGCCCTTTGTTTTGGAAGTCTGTTCTGGGGAGGGAAGAACCTTCCTCCAAACCTTCCAAGTCCTCCCGGCCCTCAGAAGCTTTCAGAGTTCCAGTAACATGTCCCCACTGATGCCTGTGCTTTGGCTTCAGCTCACCATTTGTCTGCTCAGTCTCAGTGGCTGCTTTCTGTCACGACGGTGGGAAAAACAAAACAGAACAAAGATGGTATTAGAACTGCAGCATAACTGTGCAAATATATTGGCGTGGCTAGTGAAAGCTCAGAAACAAGGCTGAACTGCCAGAACACGCACGGAACGGAGCAAAACAGAATCTATCTAAATTACAGGTATTACCACGACATGATAATGTGCAATCTCCCTAAATAATTTCAGTTCAGAGTGTTTTCCAATCTCTGTTTTTCAGGTATAGAATCATCTTTGTTGTTGTGTCATAGACACACACACCAGTGAAACAACTGAATAGTGTACATAATGAACAATATATGGCAAAACAGTGTGTATGGGAGAGAGTCAGAAAGAAAATGAGGCGGGAGAACAAGGCCATGAGTTTGGAGGCAGTGGTAGAGGAGTGGAAAAATGGGGTGGGCAGTTGGAGTTAAAGTAGGGCCCAGGGAAACACATTAGATCTCCTTATCAGCATTTCAATTCTATGAATACCATTTGATTGCAGTATATGGCAGATTATCTTGGAAAGCAGATCCCTGTATGTCTTCATATTCCATCCAAAATGAGATCTAACCATCTGGCTTTATTTTAAGATTCTACATAATGCCATGGGCAGCAGAGTATAATAGTTGCATAGCTTCTTACATTATTAACCCTAGTCTCAGTGCCTACAATCCCTAGTCTCAATCCCTAGAATCCCAGTTAAAGGATCCTAGGTGTTCGAAGACCTTTCTCTGAATGACATCCTAGGAAGATACAGAACATTTTGACAAGGAGGCAAACCCATGTAAAAGTACCCAGTCCAGCATGCAGAGTGAATCCCATCTCCACCACTTAACATAAAGAGACCTATCCCTAAACCACACTGTTATTTCCCTTTGACACAAATCACCAAACACTGGGTCTTACCTGCTGAGGAATTTTACAGTGAATGTTTGGCAGCACCACCTGGTTGGGCTTGTCATCCCTTAAATGACCATTCACAGAAGAGTCAGATTTGTATGGGAATATCAGGGGATGGGAGGGCTGGTTTGTTTGGAATGGTCTAGATGAGAGGCGAATGTGTGGCTTAGGAGGAGGCTCTGCAGGAGGGATGGGCTTCATGTGGACTTGGGCTTTATCAGGAAGGTCTCTTGGTGGTTTTCCAAGCTCCGGAATACAGCGAGAGGTGCCCAATGCTTGGCCAACCTGGAAGTAAGGATAGCGAAGTGCCTAAAATAAAGTAATAGACAAGCTATATTTAAACCAGGAAACAACAGCCTGAAGACTCATCACACAGAAACATACACAATGTTGCATTCTCAGTTCCAATAACCAGGGCTATATGTATGCAACAATTATGCAGGAGCGCAGAAAAGCCCAGATTGTGACCATAGGCATAAAATCTAGCTCCCCAAAACTCCCTACTTTCATTTTTTGAAAATGAGAATGTTTCTAGCCCCTTGCGGTAGAAGACATGCTTCACATTATTTGGGTATTCCTGTGCTGAAATCCTACAACCCAAAGTGGTGACTGAATACAGTTCAATGGCTGGGGTGTTCTGAATCTGCAGAACTCTGTATCCTGATCCCAGGGTGGCAAAATTACAGTGAGGTAAACACAGTGAAATGCAAAAGTTTTTTTTATGCAAAAGTTTTTAAAAAACTAAGCAAACTTACTTGGTTTTCAAAATTTGGATTGCCTGGAATTTTTACCTTGTGTCTCTGCAGAACCCTCTCTGTATTGGCTGAATACTACTCCAGAGACCATGCACAGCTCAGCTGTTGACTAATCATACAGCTGACATACAGTGCAATCCTATGCAGAGGACAGGATTGATTGATGCCATTACTGTTTTTTTAATGGTGGCTAGAAGGCCTCTCTTCCAAATTTGGTTTTTATTCTGACTAATTTATTTTTACTTGGTTGTATTCCCACTGCACACCCATACAGAAGCCAACCGGGTTGCCCAAAGCCCTCACTTCCCTTTTAAAGGATTCTGAAGTAACCACAAATTCCTGACATCACAGACGTCCTTTCTGAAAAGCAGGGATTACGATGCAGAGAGCAGGAAGAGGGAAAAGAGATGATATATAGAGATGGGAATAGGGAAGGGTAAGAGGGAGAAAAACAGGTTGCTTACCTGTTAACTGATGATCTTCGAGTGGTCGTATGTGCAGTACCACACATGGGTTGGGCGCCTGCACACGCCCTCGACAGGAGAAACGTCTAGAGCTTTGTCTCAGAAAGCTTTTGGTGGGCTCTCTTCCCGCCCTGGGGAGAAGGCACGTACTGTGCATGCCTGGAGTGGGGGAGAGAGCCGCCTCCCACTCAGTTCCTTCGACCGCTACCGGTAAGTCCCATCAAGCCAAAGAAAGGTGAACAGGAGATGCCAGCAGTGGGGAAGGTTGGGTGGGATTGTGGTACTGCACAGAAGAAACGCGGTCTTGAGGTTGGTATCGAGACGGGCACCCAGGAACTGAAGGGCCTGAAGAGGCTGTAGGGACGACTTGGTTAGGTTGACACAAAGCCCGAGGGCACGAAGGAGAGACAGGGTGGTTTGGACATCTTGGAGGAGCTGGTGTTGGGTGGAGGCAACAAGAAGCCAATCGTCAATATAGGGATACAGGGCAATCCCCCGACAATGAAGGTCTGCAGCCACGACAGCCATCAACTTGGTAAAAACCCTTGGGGCAGTGTAGAGTCCGAACGGAAGGACCCGATATTGATAGTGTGCGTTGCCGACAGCGAAACACAGGAACATTCGATGCTGGGGATGGATAGTGACATGAAAACAGGCGTCCAGGAGATTGACAGAGGCGAGCCATGCCGCCCAGGGAATCAATGGGAGGATAGATTGTAGGGTGACCATTCGGAACGTGGCATTGAATGTGCCGATTGAGATCCCGGAGATCCATAATGGATCCCTGAAGCCGCCATCCCTCTTCGGTACGAGGAAATATTTTGAATAAAAGCCTAGGGTTCGTTGCGCTTCTGGGACGACCTCAATGGTGTCTTTGGCTAGAAGTGCAGAAATCTTGGAATCGAGGATCCGGGGTGTGTGTGTGTGACAACATAATGAGGTAGGTCGGGGGGCGAAATGAACTCTATGGCGTACCCGATCCGTAAGATGGTAAGGACCTAGATATCGGTTGAAATTTCTTCCCACATTCGTAGAAATGGGAAGAGTCGGGTCCGGACGGGAGGGGTGTAAGATGGAGGAGATGGCAGGCGATCGAAGCGGTCAAACGGACAGCTTGGGCTGCTGGTTTTTTAAGGGGCCTTTTGGCACACCGTATTAGGATAACGGAAGTCATAGGGCCTCTTTCTCCAATGGGAGGTGGGCGCAGGAGATAGCTGAAGTCTGGCATAATATGGTTTCCACGGACAGTATCGGCATCGAGGTGTCGATGCCGACACACCAAGGTTGCGAGCCTGCTTCCGACTATCATCGACAGCCTTTAAGGCTTCGTCAGTGGTAGAGTGGAAGAGACCTTCGCCATCGAAGGGGAGATCCTCAATCCGGAATTTCACGTCGGGCTGTAAGGAGGTACCCCTTAGCCAAGCATGATGACGGAGACCAACGGAGGAGACCAGAACTTTCGAGGAGCAAGTGACAGCATGAAGGACTGAATTAATTTGCTGTTTCGAGATTGTGCAAATTTCTGATAAAGCTCCTGACAACGTTGGACGGTGTTCCTTCGGAACAAACTGTAAGACAGGATGGACTGCATTAGCTACATTAAAGGCATAGGCCGACAGATATGACAGGTAGGTGTCAATATGAAGATTCATAGAGGCGAAGGAATACAGCTTCTTCGCGATAACATCAATCTTGCGGCCCTCGCGATCGGGAGGCACAGAGTGGCGGGCAGATTGCTTCGATTTCGAAGAAGATTGGACGATCATGGAATTCGGTGGAGGCTGTCTGAAGAGAAACTTCCCCGAGCTCTCTTGGACCTTATAGAGAGCTTCGTATCGTTTGGCGACTGGGAGAATGGAAGCGGGATGAACCCATGTCTCCTTGAGGGTGGAAAGGTGGACCGGCAATAGAGGCAGGACCGTCGAAGGTGGGAGGTCAGCCTGAACAAGCTTGTGAATGACATCAGTCACAGCTGGGGATTCAGTGGAACCCAATCTGGTTACAAGTTCCAGATACGCTTTCGGGTCTTCAGTTGGTGAAATAGATCCCAAGGGCTGAAGGTCATATTCGATGTTCGAAACATCGAGTTCGAGATCTGCTGAATCCGAGTTGTCGGAAATCGACATGGGAGAAGAGGATCTCCGCTGTTGAGTGAGATCAGCCGGTATCGAGTCATCAACAGGGGGATGAAACCCAGGTTCTGAGAGAGAACACTTAGGGGTATCCCTAGGCCTTGAGAGGTCAGGAGGCTGGTCAGGGGCCACAGAACGAGCCGAAGTCATGGACCGAGATCGTCTGGCGTGATCTAAAGTGCGTGGATGGTCATCACGTTCGAAGTGACGAATGTGATCGTACCGGTGTCGACGAGGAGTAGGAGACCTTGGATAATAATACGGATAGTAATCAGGTCGATCTCGTTCATCAGACCAGTATTCGTCATCAGAAGGCGATCCCGAAGGAGAAGGTGACTGGCAACGAATAAGACGCTTTCTATCATATCGCGTTCGATGGCCAGCAGAATGCGCCGTGACCTCCAAATGGTGGATCAGGGTACGGGAGTTTGGCGTCGGAGATCGAGAATCCCGGTGACAAGACAAGTCAGGAAGAGATCTCGTAGATTGACCCAGCGGAATAAGGCCAGAGGCTGAAGAGAGCATAGGTGGTGCTGTCGGAGGCCACAAAGTGGACTTGTTAGGTACAACAGTCACAGCAGGGGTTGATGTCATTAAACCAGTAATGACGACCAGTATTCGTCATCAGAAGGCGATCCCGAAGGAGAAGGTGACTGGCAACGAATAAGACGCTTTCTATCATATCGAGTTCGATGGCCAGCAGAATGCGCTGTGTCCTCCAAATGGTGGATCGGGGTACGGGAGTGTGGCGTCGGAGATCGAGAATCCCACTGACAAGACAAATCCGGAGACCTCATAGATTGACCCAGCGGAATAAGGCCAGAGGCTGAAGAGAGCGTAGGTGTCGGAGGCCGCAAAGTGGACTTGTTAGGTACAACAGACACAGCAGGGGTCGATGTCATTAAACCAGTAATGACCACTGGGTCAACAGCCGAAGTCGAAGCTGATGTCGAGGGCTTGACTTTCGATTTCGAGGAAGCCTTACACTCAGGCCGTGTAGATTTTAACTTTGGTGCCTTCGAAGCGGATTCTGATTTTTTAGAAACAGTCAAAGCCATGGCAGGACGCAAGGCTGCCTCTAAAAGCACAGCCCTAAGGCGAGTCTCCCTATTACATCGAGCTTGTCTAGTATAACTAGCACAATGAATACAGGTATCGACTCTATGGGATTCCCCGAGACAAAACAGGCACAAATCGTGACCGTCGTTTGAGGGAAGTTAGCTGAGCAATAACGGCACAGTTTTAAAAACTTTGTTTTCCCATACTTTCTCCACCCCACTCACTATAAATAAAGGGGGGGGGTGAGAGAAGGAGAAAAAGAAGTATTTAATTTTTTTTTACAATTTTTTTATATATAACAAGAAAAGTTGAAGAGTGAAGACGGAAGGGAACAAAAGAGAGAAAAAAGATAAATGTATTCTTACCTGAGGCAAGTACGGAGCAACAAAAACGAGGTGTGAACACACAAGTGGTCGAAGAAGAACTGAGTGGGAGGCGGCTCTCTCCCCCACTCCAGGCATGCACAGTATGTGCCTGCTCCCCAGGGCGGGAACAGAGCCTCCCAAAAGCTTTCTGAGGCAAAGCTCTAGAAGTTTCTCTGGTCGAGGTCGTGCACAGGTGCCCAACCCATGTGTGGGACTGCACAGAGACCACGACGAAGATCCAGAGAGAAACAAAGTTGTGGCAGCAGCCTCCAGCAAATCATATAAATATTTTACAGATTGGGGAATGTGGGAGTAATGGTGATCAGGAGGAACAGAAGCACACACAACTCTTTTCATCTTCTCCTCCTTCATGGCCAAAGGAGACTTCAATTCCAGAAGACGTGGCATGGTATGAGCAAGGAAGGTGGGTTGCAATGTAATTTGTGTACAGTAAGCGCAAACCTGGCTTGCTGTTGGCCGTTTCTTGGGGTCCCATTGCAGCATGTCTCTCATGAGCTGTATTGCCTCACTGCTTGCATTAGGGATGAGGGTCTTCAGGTTGTTAGGTACACACTGTGGCCAACGGAAATTCATGCTGCTTGCAAGTTGGTAGCCTTCAGGCCAGTCGTTCTGAAAGGGATGCAAGTATGCTTGCCATTAAAAGAAATGTCTAGGCAGTTACTGCAGTTGTGATGTCCCCCCAGTGGTACAGGCCAGTGGCGTACTACCTCACTGAGGTTCGATATGCTCTTTTAATATCACAACTGTTTCATTACACAGAAGACTGGAATGGCTTACAATCTGGACCACTGCAGTCGTAACACTGGGTTCTTTTCGCTTATGGCTAAGAAACTGGAAGCTATCCTCGGGAACACACATGCCCTCTTCTCTTCTCTGGAGAAAATTCTGCCCTCTCTCAATACCGTGGGTAGCAACAACCAGGGTTACTGTTTTAACTAGGATTTGAAGTGGGTCTCAGATTTTAGTGAACTACTGCTCCTATTCCTTGGAGACAGGACAATGTACCAATGACAAATGTAAAGATCTGAAAATAACAAGGACACCTATGAACCTACTGAGATAGAAGCCATAATGTAGCTACCAATGTTAAAGTGTAGGGGGATACATTTCAAGGATGCAGTTCAAAAAGCACTCACTTGGGAGCTGGCCCCACTGGAAAGACTTGCTGCCAAGTAAATATGAAGGCTGCACATTATTATTTCATTTTTCCCCCATCATCACTATGTTACTATGTGACATGACAGCATGCACATCTAGTAAAAGGCTATTATCAACAGTACAATATCCATGCCACTGATATGCTAAAAGGAAATAGTAAAAATAAAAGAACACAGAAACACAATTGTACTTCTTCATGGGCATCAACAACCGAGTTTTCATTAGGTACCTTTTTTGGTGTCCCCAGCACTTGGCAAATCTTGAAAATCGTATCAATTTCACTGGAACCTGGGAAGAGGGGTCTCAGGGTGTAAACCTCGGCCATTATGCAACCAACAGCCCAGATGTCAATGGGGGAACTATAGTTAGTGGATCTCAGGAGCACTTCTGGAGCCCTGTACCTGTAAGCCAAAAGTAAACATGGTCATCTATAATGCACGCTAACCAAAAGGTCGAACAGGACTTTCATTGGCCTGAGACTGCAAGAGGTCCCCTTCTCTCTGGAAAAGGGCCCTCTAAAAAACAATCCCTCTCTGTTTTGCAGCAGAACTGACTGCTCAGTGTAACGGCAGCAATATCATATTTACGCTTTGTTTGCTATAATCCATTGCAGATCTTCAGTTTTAATGAGAAGACTAACAGCCATGTTAGACTTTACCCTCTTAACAAAGGACATGTGTAACCGGTCCTTAACCCATCTATGTTTACCTCCAGAAGAACACAGCCAATACAGCCAGCAGCATCAAGGCACCTCTATGCACTCTCTCCATGTACTGCCCATATCTACTGTCAAAGAGAGTTCACAGCCCTCCCCCTTCCATCTCCCTTTCTCAGTTTGTTCTTTCTTGCTCATTCTGAAGGTGTCTGCTTTCCCCTGCCTAAGGATCCAGAATCTTATAGTTTTAAGAGTGGAGATTACCCATTTGTTCAGGTGACTTTGTGCAGGGCTGAATGAGCAAGGGGGTGTTCTGCTTGCATCTCTCCCCACAAAAGCAACTATGCTTTGGAACTGCTGTGATGGCCATGAGGGGGAGCTGCATCTCAAAAACATATTGGGGAATGAGCAAGGGGGTGTTCTGCTTGCATCCCTCCCCACAAAAGCAACTATGCTTTGGAAGTGCTGTGATGGCCATGAGGGGGGGCTGCATCTCAAAAACATATTGGAAAAAGCCTGGAAACATGTTACTCTTACCACAAGAGAGTTCTGCTGGCTAAGAGTTCTGAAGAGGACAGGGGTTATACAAAGAAGGGAGGAGGAGGAGTTGGCTGTCTCTTTCTGTCCATTGTTTATCTTCCCCTATGTTTCTTCTTAATTTCCCCTGCTCTTTTCCCTCAAAATTCTTAGGAAAAATTAGCTTCTAAATGGTGGGGAAAAGAAAATCTTTGTTATCACAGTCAGCCGCTCTGGAACCTTCAGAATTCTCAGTTGGCAAAGTAAGTACAAAATGACTGAGACAAGGTCAAATTTTTAAGTGTTTTAATCTGTTTTAATTGATGAACCTTATGGTTCACTTGTATGTCTTTTAAACTGCTGTGAACCACTCCAAGCCCTGTGTTGCAGGAGAAGGGTGGAATATAAACCCCATAAATAAATTAATAAATATAATGCAGTTCTCTTACTGATAACATCTTCCCCAGGATTTGTGTGGGAATATCGAACCTACCCTGACAAAGAGTTGTACAAAGCACATAAGGTAAGAAGTTTTCAAACAAACTATTCAGCACCTACCACTTCTTTTAAACTGCTGTGAACCACTCCAAGCCCTGTGTTGCAAGAGAAGGGTAGAATATAAACCTCATAAATAAATTAATAAATATAATGCTGATAACATCTTCCCCAGAATTTTTGTGGGAATACCGAATCTACCCTGACAAAGAGTTGTACAAAGCACATAAGGTAAGAAGTTTTCAAACAAACTATTCAGCACCTACCACTTTACCTTGCTTGGTCAGCATTTCTGACTTGAAAAAGGACAGGACAGTCTCTTTCTTTGGGTTTTATTGGTCAACCTGTTGAACCCATACCTAACTTAAGTCAGCCTCAGCACCCAAGCAAGGAAAACTCAACAAATGCAATGATTTTGCCACAAGTTTCAACTTAATGGTGGGGATAATGGTCAGTTCAACTTCACATGCCACAAAATCTAATTCTAGTGCTTACCATCTCGTGGATACATAGTCTGTGTAGGGAGGTCTGGATCTAATTTCTCGTGCAAGGCCAAAATCTGCTATTTTCACAAGTTCTGGTCCCATGCAAAGGAGATTTTCAGGTTTCAAGTCTCTATGAAAAAATCCTATAGTTCAAAATAAACATTGGTTAGTCTTTTGCCCCCAGCTTTATATTCTTTCTTCTATTGGGTATGGTTTCATGGCTGCTGATCGGCATGCCAGCCAAATGACCTGAAATAACTGGCCTGGTCTTCACCTCTGCCATAAAAGTTTGTTCAAGACCAAGGAGCAAGACCCAGGCAACAACAATGAGAGACAGTGGAGCTTGAGTCATCTGGAGACCATGCCCACTGACTTGACTGCTCTGATGTCTAACCCTGGCAGGGTGGAAAGTGGTCATGGTGACTCAGGGAAGCACATGCCATCCCTGTGTATCCCAGGGCTCAGCTGTGGTATTACAAGCAGGTTTTGAGGCTGAGTTCCTGTTCAGAATCAGTTCTAGTAGACAGTGGCTCGAATCCACTAGAGCATTTCTGTGGATGGAAGGATTGGTGCTGGGGGGGGGGAGCAACAGTAGGAGGGCTTCTAGTGTCCTGGCCCCACTGCTGGATCTCCTGATGGCACCTGGTATTTTTGGCCACTGTGTGACAGAGTGTTAGACTGGAGGGGCCATTGGCCTGATCCAACACTGCCTTCTCTTATGTTCTATCTGCGGACTGTGATCTTCTCACCTACCCCCTTCTGCTGCAGTGGAAAGTAGGATTTGGGGGCAATGTTTCAGGCTGCAGCAAGAAGGGGGAACACAAAAGTTGCACTCCATGGGCAGAAATGCTCCAGGGGAACCAAAGTACTAACCCGTTAGACTCCTTTCTATACTCGTAAGCCACCATGCTTACTACTGCAAATCAAAGCAGAATACTCAAAACACAGGCTACAAAAGTGCAGAACTAGCATCCTGAACTGTCTTCCTAGGAGTGTAGGTGCAGGGAATCCTAGGAGTGCATGCTTCCTCTTATTAAAATCAAACAAGAAGAACTGTACTATCCATAGAAACTCAGTATGCAGGGAAAATATCTTTCAGATATCCCAGCTTCTGCATAATGCTTTGCATACATTATATCAATAATTCCTAAAACAGCCCTACATACAACAAAACAGTATTGTTTCACTCAGAACTCCACAGAGCTATTATGTGTGTGTATTAACAAGACCTCTGGCCACAAAACTTTTATATTCCATTTTATCAAGATACTTCACATTTTTGACACCATTTTTACCATCATGAATCCAAACAAGAAATATTACATCCTTGTTACCAGCCCCAAAACTGGTAATATTCCTTCCTCTGTTCCATCCACATAGTTACACATCTATATATCTAATAGCGAAAGCGCCCCCTGTGTGCGGATATCTAAATCTGCACATCGGGGGCACCTGGGGGGCAGGGAGATTTTCCTGCACATCTGGGGCAATCACCAGATGTGCAGAAAAATCGAAAAACTGTAAAAAAAAACTATAGGGGGGATACTGAAATCCCCAAGAAAGTAAAAGAGCATCCCCTGTGCATGTGCAGGGAACGCTCTTGGAACTCTGCGGCGGGCTGGCGGTTGGAAGCCGCTCAGGCCTCGCCACGGGGCGGGGGAGGAAGAGATCGGGAGCAGCGGGGTGGACCTTTGGCAGCTGCAAGCCACTCAAGCCTTGCTTCCAGGGCCGGGGGGGGAAGGAGACTGGGGGGGGAGGAGACTGGCGCGGCCCGGCAGCTGCAAGCCACTCGGTCCTTGCTTCCAGAGCCAGGGGGGAGGAGACCGGGGAGGGGGAGATCTGCGAGGCCCTGTGGCTGGCAGCCACTCAGGCCTCTCCCCCTGAGCCAGGGGTGGAGGGTGGTGGTGGAGGAGACCGGGGTGGTGGTGGTGGTAGAGGTGATTTGGTACAGGGGGGGGAATCGGCGGGGATGGGAGGGGGAAGCTTACCTGCTGCTGCTGCTTCCTCCTCCTGTGCGTGGAGCTCCCCCCCCCCGCGAGTATCGTGGGTCCCCTTTCTTGTATGACTCTGATTTGGCATTAATATCTTACCATGTTTATGTATAAAGGAAAGCCCTTGAAGAATCTGATACATAATATTCCTGACAGTAGATTCTGGAAACAATTTATTCCTGTAAGGTAGGAGAAAAGTTAGTTCATACATGGGTTTCTTATATGTACTCATGTATCAACTGCAGGAGTATCTGATGGATGATACAAGTGCGACTAGCTATCCACATTCCATACATCTCTGCTGATTCCCTTATTTGGTTGAAACCAGCTTGTACAATCTATTACATTTTTAACCTGCTCTTCCTTCAAGAAGATTACTGCAGCAAGCATGGTTTTCTCCTCCACTTTTTAATCCCCAGAGCCACCATCTGAGATAGGACTCGATGAGATATAGAATGATATCAGGGATTTAAATCCAGGTCTCCATACTGAGCGATACACTGACCACTAAATTGTCTCATCCTATAGTACCTAAAATCACGTGTTATGTTTATTATGTACCTACTGTGATTTGCTGAAATGACTGTAAACTACCCAGCAGCAAAGCTTAATGGATCAGGTCCCAAAGTATTGATTAAAAGTACTGATTATCCCTGAATGTATTTTAAGACATCAGTACAGAAATCTACTCGCAAAAAAAAGAACATACCTTTCTTTCATCAACTGATAAAGGTTCTCCTTCATGTATTCGAACACAAAGTACAGATTATCATTTTCTCGGATAACTTCTTTTAGCTTCACCACATTGGCATGGTTGAGTTTCTTCAAGGACTGAAAGTACAAGATAAGACTATCAAGGCATTGTTGCAGTCTGGGTTTCCTGATATGTGACAATGAGTCCTTGTCTCAGAAACAAGAGATATTTCTAAATGGCTGTTAAAAACTCACTCAGATATTCACAATGTTCCTTCAGCCATATACGATGCATGCTGATAATGGGTTTATTTATTTCAACACCCCATGTTCCTGAATGTTCAAGCTGCTTATTCCAGTACAACATCCTGCCTTGGATTTTTCAGTCATTGCTCTCTATGGTGACAGAACACAGCACCAGTTCTTCTTCTCTTAGTCTCTTCCTGTTACATCCATGACAGCTACCACTAACAGTGCCATCCTAAGCAAAGTTACATGCTTCTAAGCCCATTGACTACAATGGATTTAGATGTGTATAATTTGGCTTGGCATAGTACTACATGTCAGCTGGGGCAAACTGAGAACCAACTGTCTGCTCTTTGCCCATCCATCAGCCTCACAAATGCTGCATCAAGGTTATACAGTGTCTTTGATTACCTTGAAATACTTGTTCAGGCATGAAAAAATGCACAAGATGTTTCACATTCTGGACTGCTAGTTGAAAGCATGGAGTTAACTTCAATATTAAACAGTAAGTTTAAAAGGAATGTCTTGATTTACAATACAATCCCAGACAGAGTAACATCCTTCTAAGGCCACTAACTGCAATGAACTTAGATGGGTGCAGCTTGCTTATGATGTTAGATGGGATCCAACCACCTTTTTGCTAGTGAAATTTGACCACTCAAAAAGGCTATATACTGAGGATCATAGAACCTATATGGACAAATAGCATGTGGGATGGTGGGACAGGAGCTGTAGTAAGGAGGGGAATTAGGAGAAATTGAGCAAAAAAGCTGCTCAATCCAATTCCTTGTTTCTACCGCTTTACAACCCAGTACCTTAACCTCTCGAAGATTCATACATTCCTCCCAGGAGTAAAACTTCCTCTTCATCCTTTAAAAATACAGATTAAGAAAGTTAATGTCACCCTCCAGTAACACCATTAATCATTTCACATTTGCATTCTAGTGGCATCATGGCATTGAATCTGTGGGATACATGGTATCTTACTACAAAAGAGTGCTGCATATATCATATTCAACAACCCATAAAACTAGTTTCTCATGAATAAAAAGGAGGAGGAGGAGATTGGATTTATACCCTGCCCTTCACGCAGAGTCTCAGAGCGGTTTACGAACTCCTTTCCCTTCTCCTCCTCACAACAGACACCCTGTAAAGTAGGTGGGGCTGAGAGAGCTCTTTCCAGAACTGTCCTTGAGAGAATAGTTCTGATAGAACTATGGCTTGCCCAAGGTCATCCAGGAGCCGCAAGTGCAGGAGTGGGTTATCAAACCCAGTTCTCCCAGATTAGAGACCGCACACTTAACCATTACACCAAACTGGCTCTCAAGGCCTTCAAAACTATGTTTTCCCAACAGCAGCCCTCAGTGTCACTCAGAAAACATCTTCTGAAACACAGATTTTAAAAAAGGTTTGTTTGGTACATGGCTTGGAGGTCTGATGTTCAAAGTAAGAAATCCCACTGGACGTGTCCAAGTAGCACTTTGCATTCAGGCTTACAGTTCTGCCATGCAAGCAGAGACCTCTGGGAAAAAAGTTATATTAAAAATGCACAAATGCTTTATGACTATAAAGATAAATATAAAAATGAATGTTCAATGCCATCTGAAGTTGTAGAAACATAACTAGGTGTGGGTAATGAAAACAAGATTTATGCAAAAGAAGACTATTTCTTAGTTTGTTGGGATCAGATTTTTCAAGTGCTGCAGCAGCCTGATTCGAACAGAACCAGGACGCAGAGTATGTGTGTGACTTCAGCCTCACACCATTTTCTCCACTTGAAACAATTGGGGTAGGTGTTATTCAGCCTGGTGAGCATGTACATGCACTGACTAAAAGGAAACTCTTTTAAAAATACATCTAGTATGGCCATAAGTATCAAGAATTACAATTCTGTGCTAAGGAAAGTTGAACTTTTGACCTGCCTAAAATAAGATAAATTGAGCACAGCTTCTCCAATTTTGCAATTTGTTTCCTGTAATTTTTATCATTTTGCTGTCTACTTGAATGGACAGAAAGTTGTGCCAGTGCTGAAATTCAGGGTTGGAAACTTGCATTAAAAAATAAATGAAGGCCAAGATCCATAAGAAAAATTCTGTACCCAATACTACATCCCATGCTTTTGGGGACTCCTGCAGAATCATAGAGCATATGCACTCAGTGTTTGAATCTCCCCGCTGCTTGATCAGGTTCCCATTGTTAGCTGAGTGCCTGAAAGCAACTACCCAAGGTTAGAGCAAGCAAGACCTCCAGCACAATTTAAAATACAGACACAAAACAGAAGTTGCTTACCTCTTAATGGCAAGAAGCTCCCCGGATTCAATACTCCTTCCCAGGAGGACAGAACCATATGTTCCATCTCCCAGCTGTTTGATAGTTGTATACCGATAATGGAGATTGATAAAGTTATGAGGGCAGTAACGAGTATGAACTGGGAGGTCAATTTTAGGGGACAGTTGGCTAATTTTGCACAGTCACGGTAAAATCCTGATAGAACCTCTTATTTTATTTGTGTAAAATACTTCCTGCATCATAAAAAACCCTCACTTTGGGAAGAGCAGACCGGAAACAAACAGTCCAGGCCTAGTTATCTTAACATAACATAGGCAACAGTGCAATCCTAAACAGAGTTACACTTAGAAAAGTTACAGATAGAAAATCCATTGAAGTCTACAGATAGAAAATCCATTGAAGAATCTAATCCCTTAGAATGGTGCCATGATATTTAGGATTACATTATCACAATGCAATCTTAGGAAACCTAGATGTATGTACTGCTAATAGCCAAAGACCATTGCCATGTTAACATAATAAATAACAGAAATTAAAAGAAAAAAACCAAAGGCCATACAGAATATAAAAATATGAAAACCAAACGGACCCAAAAATCCAGACAGTTTATTTTAAGACAACAATAAAGTTTCCATAAAATAAGTTGTACTACAAGAAGTTTAAGCAGTTTACTAACAGGCAGTTAGCCACCAGTGCAGAAAGAGACGCCATGAATAACATGCTGATCCTATGCCAGGTGATAAGTAAATTATTTTCTCTGTCTCAGACCCATAGTTCAAACAGGTTAAAATACCCAAGAACAATCTTAGGCAGAATTACTTCAGGTTAGGCCCATTGAACTTGGTGTGCTTAGACGGGAGTAACTCTACATAGGATTGCACTGTTAATAATATCCTTGGATTATCAATCAGACCAGCTGCCCCCTTTCTAAAAGCTACAGAAAAGAGATGAAAAACAGACTTAGAATTTCTGCACATCTACCATCTGGCAATCATATTATTTATGATAGCCAGCTCACATACAGAAAGGCTAAATAGAATCTTATCAATTACACACATCTTGTGCATTTAACAAAAGCATGGGCAAAACAAAGCATCTGAAGAATTATCACACTGGAAAGTTCATTTTCCTATAGTCACGCACTCAAAAAGTCATCCTGTTATTCAGATATTAGCAATAGATCCCTGACATATAAAGCACAGTGGCTTAGTACAGGTGATTTTTGTACACGGTCATTGGCCTGTGAATCACAGTCCCAAGAAACTTAAAATCAAACTTATACCAAAGAAACATAACAATGATGTTCATGTCTCTTTGGAATAGCCATTGTCAGACCTAAGAGACTTGGAAATTATGGAGAACAAGGCACACCAAAGCCAGAGTTTGCACTGGGAAATTTTTTAACAAAAATATAGCTAAACCCATGTGTTTGGGGGTGGGTGGGTTAATGCCACTGATGTCACTCTTTTTAAAGAGAAAGAAGAGAGGCTGATGCCAGTTTTTCCCCAAATACTGGTAACTACAGTGAAGTACATCACAGAACATTATTGTTATATTTACTGGCTTTCAGTTTTATTTCTGAATTCTTGCAAGATTAGAGATAACAACAAAATATTCACTTACTACAATCTCCCTTTAAACCCAGTCTCCACAACTCATGGTTATGTATTTTGCCTGCTAAGTGTCTGGCAACCCCATTGTCTCAGTGCTCTTAGCAAAAACAGGATGTTTATCAAAACCTTCAAGGGCCCTCCCCATATTTGGCTAGTGAGTTGAATTTGCTTTTATGGGTCACAAGTTGGGCAGGGCTAAACAAATGAAAATAAAGCCTTATGTACAGCAAAACTGAGGATCTTTACTTTAGCTAAAGTTCTTCTAGCCCTGGTACATATTAGGCAATTTAAAGTATACTTACTTTTGAGGAATCCAGGCTGTCACCAGGCAGTCTGTCAAAAATGTACTACTGCCATAAAAAGAAGAACCAAACTTAATTATGACCAGCATTCCTTAAGTAAACAGAACTTTCACAGCACTAGTTTAATTCTACAAGACAAATGATCAAAAGCAGCATTTCCAGGTTTTGCTGCACAATGTACACTTGAATCCTGTGCAGCACCTTTCACTAGATTATTACACAAATAAGCATTGTACCCAAGTACCAGCTTTGCATCCCTTTACATGTTCGTTATGGAAGAATTTAAAAGCAGTAGCTTTAAAGTCTTTTTTTTTACAGTACAGGCCTCATCAGAAATCTATCAAGTTAGGCCTCTTATTGGGGCATCAAATTCTAAAATGTAGCAGCAAAGTCAAAAACAATTTTAGAGATTCAAAATGTTTTAAAAATCCACAAACAAACCGCCACCCTACAGCACACTGAGGATTCTAGAGAGCAGGGGGAGGGGGACCCACATTAGGATTAGAACCTCGTTACTTGAAGCCTCGAATCTGTCATGTCTGATAAGTGACACATATACAGTAGTCCTCCAAGGAATGCTTCTTAATGCCACATGCAGCCTTTAAATCCCACAAATAGGAGGAAATACAGTTCCTAGAAGACAAAAAAAAACCCTGCCCCGATACTAGTTACAGCATAATTAATACAAACCCTGCGGCCGGAACCCGTAGATTCTCTCACGAAGCCAGAGTCTGTGACAGAATCATCACACTGAGCTGGACAGGAAGGAGCTTCCCAGCTAGCAGCAAAATACACATACACAAAAGGAAAACACGGCCATTTAGCAGGGACAACCAGCAGCTTTCCCTGGCAAAAGCAACTCAGCAGCTCCCCCATCTGGCCTTCCATTACCTTACCCCCGAATAAGGCCAAATCTTACAGTCTCTCATTTAAGAAAAAGAAGGCTTACTTTGAGCCTACTGTGGCTCGAACACTGAACTTCTTTGCAAATACCGGGATTTCACCTAAAATATGTGAAGTTAACGGGATATTTGAACATGTGCCAAGCACCTATTACATTACATCCCACACACTTAGTGAGCTTCTAGCTCATTCAACATGGATTTCAGGCCAGTGTGAGCTATGATACCACTTGTAGAAATTGAAACAAGAGGAGTCCTTCATTAAAAACAAAACAAAACCCTGTTACCTGTTTGTGCATGTGGGCACTGTGAAATAATGTCATTCAGTTTGCAAAGGATGAGATTACTGCAGTCGAGTTGAAGCAGTTAAACCAACTTTTCAAGACCTAGAACCCACTTTTAACCCTCAGACAGTTGCATAGGAGACCAAATTGCAAGCATGTGATATCAGGGTTGTTAAGTCGCTCGCTTAACAAAGTAATTGGAGAGTGATTCAGCAAAGGTTCGACTTTATTCAACAACTCCAACACAACTCTGACACAGATCAACATCTGATAGCCAGAACAGCTTTTGCATTAAAGCTGTTCCCTTTTTAAACTCTCCCGGCTAATGTAGCCACGCCTACTATACAATTATCAACCAATAAGGTTGCATACATAAGGACCAATCACGGATATTCCCGCTCAGGGAGCTTGCTGGTACTTGATTGGATGGTTCTTCCTGGACTACCAATATGATTGGAGGGATTTGGATCCTAGCCCAGGACGAAGCTTCACATGGTGTTTCAATAGGGTGATTCACATACAGTTTGCCTTGCATTGAATACACCACAAGGGTCATATAAGAGCCAGTGTGGTGCAGGGGTTAGCGTATCAGAGAAGGAGCTGGGCAACCTTGGTTCAGATCCCTACTCTGCCATGAAAGCTTGATGGATGACCTTGGGCCAGTCACTCTTTCTCAGGCAAAGGGGAGAATGACAGATCTACTAAATAAATAAAGAACATAACATAAAAACAGAACAGGAAGCTGACGACCTGAGCAGCACTGTGACCAGCAGACCAAGAGAGTTGGAGACAGGAAACAGGCCAGATAGTTATTGAAGTGTAGTGGGTTAAACGCATGTAGAAACCACAGATACGGATGCAGTGATCAGCATGGTTTACTAGTACACAACAAAAACACAGAATACTGGCCGGCTGGCCAACTATATACACACCTGGGGGACACCCCCTAGGTCCCGTTGGTGGGTTCAAATCTCCCGCCACGGTCCTATTGGTTCCCAAGTAAAGAGACTAGGAGCCTAGTCCCTATTGTTTGTACAGATTGAAGCTCAGGAGTATTTGCTGGCCCCTGGTGGAAGTCAGCGAACATAACATCCCTCCCCCCATAGTTCAGACCTAACCTAGGTCACATAGTCCGTTAAGTATGACGGGGCCCGCCGTTCTCTAGTGGACCATCGGGGAGCCAGTACTGGGACCTCTGGGGCCACCTCCGTGGTGCTGAGTCGTGCTGGTGGTGCAGCCTCCTCCGGTGCAGGAGGGACGGCTAGTGGGCCCTCCTCAGCAGCTACCGTGGGGACAGGGCTCAAGGTTCTGGTGCTCCTTTGTTGGGAGGTCTTGTGCTGGGGCATCTTGGGTGCTCACCTCCGGGTGCTTGGGCACCTGCATGCTCGGATGCTCAGGGAGCATGCACCATCGGAGCTGGTCAATGTGTCTCTGAAGGACCTGCCCGCATTCCATAGACATGCCGTACATGACGGTGCCCGTGGGACGGATGACTTGGCTGACGATCCATTCCAGGCCCCTTCTGAAATTTCTGACAAAGACGGGGTCCTCTGGGAAGAAACCGTGAGGCGCTTCCCACTGCTCGGAGGAGTTCCACGGCTCGGGAGCCCAATCTGGGTGCAGGCGGTCTGATCAAGTTGTTGCGGAGGAACTGTTGGAATTCATCCAAAGTAAATGCTGTCCCGTTGTCCGATACGATGGTGTCGGGCAACCCGTGGGTGGCAAAGATCTTTCGGAGGGCGTGGATAGTGGCCTTTGCGGACGTCACGGAAATGGAGCTTATCTCCAGCCACTTCGAATAGGAGTCCACAGTCACTGGGAATAGCAGTCCGTGGAATGGTCCGGTGAAGTCTATGTGGAGCCGGGACCACGGGGTTTGTGTGGATTCCCGTGCCTGTGAAGGTGCGCTCGGTGGACTGGGTTGAACGGCTTGGCAGGTTGGGCAGCATTTCACCCACCCCCTAGGTCCCGTTGGTGGGTTCAAATCTCCCGCCACGGTCCTATTGGTTCCCAAGTAAAGAGACTAGGAGCCTAGTCCCTATTGTTTGTACAGATTCAAGCTCAGGAGTATTTGCTGGCCCCTGGTGGCGGTCAGCGGACATAACATCCCTCCCCCCATAGTTCAGACCTAACCTAGGTCACATAGTCCGTTAAGTATGACGGGGCCCGCCGTTCTCTAGTGGACCATCGGGGAGCCAGTACTGGGACCTCTGGGGCCACCTCCGTGGTGCTGAGTCGTGCTGGTGGTGCAGCCTCCTCCGGTGCAGGAGGGACGGCTAGTGGGCCCTCCTCAGCA